AAGCCGCTAGAGGTCTCGCTGGACACGCCTGAACCTGAGCCTGACAATGAAAGTGCGACAATGGAAGGCAATGTCGAAGAGGCGCAGCCTGCTGTGTCTAAGAAGGCCAAGAAAGTCAAGAAGAAGAAACGCCAGTCTCTTATGTTGGAGAGTGAACAACCTGCTTCTTCTGCCACAGAGGAACAGACACCTGAACCTGCTACCGAGGAGGTACCTGACTCGGTTGGCAACGATAAGGAGACGATGGCCGCTACAGACGATATTGAGCCTCCATCAAACGCAGCTGAGCTACCTATTGTCGAGAATGAGGTAGTGGAGACCGAGGCGGTTCAGGCTGACGAGGTCGCGACTCCTGTTGAAGAAGAAGCCCCGGAAGCGTCATCCGTGACCTCTAAGAAGAAGGCAAAGAAAGACAAGAAAAAGCGCAAGGCTCTTCTGTCCCAAAGCGAGGCTTCTTCACCACCGACAGAAGAACCGGTGGCCCCCGCTACCGAAGCTGAACTTGCCCCGGAGCAGACTGTTGCTATGAAACAGGAAGCAGATGGTATCCAGGGAAATCAAGGTGATGCCCGGATTTCTATTCCCGATGATTCACAGGTGGCCGGAACGAAGGAGGAGGAGCTGAAAGAAGAACAACAATCTGGAAATCGAGTTGACAAAGTCCCCTCTGCTGGCATCGAACAGACAGAAGCCACTGAGACGTCCCAGGAAGAATTAGCAACCGACTTCAGGGATACGGAAGGTAGTGTATCTGTGACGCAGGAGCCGGAGGCCGAGAACGGGCAGGAGGTTCTTGAGACTATCAATGCAAACCCTCCGATAGTACCGGCAGATGTGCTGGACTCACCAAAGGAAATAGAAATGGAGGCGCTAGAAGACGTTAGCAGGTCAATGGAGCTGATCGAAGTTCCTACAAGCATCGAATCTACAGCGGAAGACAAGCCAACGGAATCGACAACAGAAACCGCTCCTGGTTTTGATATCAATGAAACACCAGAGCTAGTCAATGATACCATCGTTGCTGAGCCTCAAGAGCCTGCCATCGCCGAATCCGAGCCCAAGGAGCCGACCGCTGAGCCTGAGGCTGAGCCAACCACTTCAGAGTCGAAGAAAGACAAGAAGAAGAAAAAGAAGAAGCGGAAGACTCTCGAAGCGGCCGAGGAGGCACCAATTATTGCTCCGGAACCGATCAACGAGACCCCAGAACAATCGGATTCTCAGCGAGACAGCCAGGACATCGAGCAGCCGGCCGTTACCGACACGGAAAAAATGGACGAAGCTGCTTTTCCACCCGAAGAACAGCTAGCGGAAGAGACAGAAAATAACGGCGAAGTGGCGCTGACTGGTAAGGCCAAGAGGAAGGCAAAGAAAGACAAGAAACGACAGTCCAAAGCCCTAGAGACCGAGAACGAAGGCGAAGCCGTCACTTCCCCGAACGTCGATCCACCACAAGACCCTGCAGACGCCGCTGATATGCCCGTGGAAACTTCCTTTGTCGAGCCTACCGTCGATGCCGAGAGAAATAAACTCCTCGCTGAGGCAACGGGCCCCGAGTCAGAGACAAAGCCGGTTTCACCTGCTGGAGATGACGGTAAAGATAATCGGTCCCACGACAACGAAACAGTCGACACGAAACGAGATGAATTGCTTTGGACTGATGAGATGATATCGCAGGTAGAGCCACAGCAAAGAGAGTCTCCACCCACTTCTCCTCCGTCTTTCAACTCTAAACATGTCGCTGTCGACCTGCCCGAACCGACTTCCACATCCATCGCCGAATTACCTGTCGAATCTGCCGGGCCACAGCCAATAACGTCAAACCTGGCAGATGCCACTTTTACAGTTAACCAAGCGGCAGTTTCGGAAGAGGTCGAGATTGCTCCAGAAAGTGAAATCAACACTGGAGCTTTTGGAGAGACGAAGAAAGAGCTGGAGTCGCACGAAGAAGAGGTGGCAGCGGAAGAGGTATCGGACGAGATGATGGGTACAAACGAAGATACTACAGTCCAACGCGAGGAGGGGACTGAATCGACCTCAAGGGCGCTCATTCCGGTCGACGAAGAGCTTTCAGTAGAGGCTACGAACAAAAGTCTACAAGACACACTGCTTCCTACAACTTCTGCCCAGTCCAAGAAAAAAGAAAAGAAGCAGAAAAGAAAACAGCAAGCCGAGACAGAAACCCAAGAGGAAGCCGAAGTGATTCAAGTTCCCGGCGACCAGCAAGAAGAAGGCTCTGACGAGCCTCCAAGTATTCGCGAGGCGGAAGCAGAATCTGTCACCGTCGCCCAGCTTGTCGAAAACGTGCCTGCTACAGAAGAAAAGGCAGAAGCCGCAGCAGTACTGGCAGACCCTGTCCCTGAACAAATTTCAGAAGAGCCGATGGTATCAAGAAGAAAGAGCAAAAAGGACAAGAAAAAGAAGAAAAAGGGTCTTGCCCTCATCCAGGAGACGGAGGAACCTCAGCCAGAAGCAACGGTTGATGAGACTCCTGCTCCTGCTGAGGGCCTGATGGCTATCGCACCGGTCGCGGACAATGTTTCTGAAACTGTACATCAAGTAGAAAAGGAAACGCTGGAGCAAGACAAGGAGATCCATGCTACAATCACAGCACCAACGGAGCCCAGCACCGAGACTGCCGAGGCCACGGAGAGCCTAGAGCAGGATGCTGTGCAGCCTTCTGAGGGAAAAGACTTCGAACCTATCCAACAGGAGGCTGCAGAGATGACAATAGAGCCGACCCTGCAAGCTGTCGAAGCTTTTGAGCAAGTTACTGTCGACAACTTGGCTGTCCAGACCGAGATAGCAGCTGAAGACGAGTCAGCTGAATGTCAAGCGGAGAACGAGGTGGAAGAGGATATGGTTATGAGGCATATTCAAGAAAAGGACGTGCAGTATTCTGTAGCAGCTACTGACAGAGAACCTGCAACTACAGTGGAGTTAGTTGAAGAGGAAGCAGAGAGTACGATAGAGCCTTTGAGTCGCAAAGGGTCTAAGAAAAATAAGAAAAAAGGGAAAAAGGAAAGGAAGCAGGAGTTGGAACGGCAGCCTACGGAGGAGGTGAAGGAGCCTTTTGTTCCTGTCGAGACTACAACTTCAGAGACCGAGATGCAGACCGAATCACCTGCCACAGAAAAGGAAATTATGCAGATATCTGGCGAGAAGGATGGGTCCAGTGAGGTGGTGAGGGAGGAATCTACGGGGGATGAGGAAGTCGTGCCAACCGAGCTACAAGGAAAGACTCCTGAGAAGGAAGATACGGCTGAGGAGCCAAAGTCGATGCCCACTATACCACGCAAGCTGTCGAAGAAGGAGAAGAGGAAGGCCAAGCGGCAATCGGCAATGGAAGTCGGACAGCCTGACGTTGAGATGGAATCCGGCGAACCCATGATCCCTGAACAAGCAGCAGAGGAATCATCTGCCACAGAGACCGGCACTTGGCTCAGAGACAGCGAGGAAAAAGCAGGGGATGTCATGGACATGTCCGTGCAGCCAAGTTTCCCTTCGGAGCAAGCAGCAGGGGAAGAATTCCCAGAGGTGCTGCCGTCTGTCGAGATCTCCGAGTCTCGACAGGACGACGACACATGGCCGTCCATTGACTGGGAGAAGACCAAGGCCGATGCCACCGATGGCCAATCCAACGAGACAATGTCCCCAGAGACACTGCCAGTAGCCTTTGAGCCTCCTATCGCCGAGTACGACGCGTCGGCCATCCCTGAAGCTCTTTCAGAGCGCGCACAATCCAGTACACCGGTGCAGTCCGTGATCCCAACGGACGAAAAGACAGTGCAACCTGGTGAGCTGGAAAGGGAGCCGACCGTCGCCGTCGCCGTCGCCACTCGTGAGCTTGAGTCTACGACGACATCCACGTCTACGCCAGAAATCGCAGCTGCCGAGATCGAGGGCCCTCCAGCCCTGAGCAAGCAGAGCCGTGTCGCCAACATATTCCCCGACTTGGAGCGTGGATCCTTCCGTCGACCAGCATCTAAACCGTCAGAAGAAGAGATTCCCGCCCAACTCCCAGGGTTGGCAAAAGATAGTGCCGAGGAAGAGACTGCAGCAGATCAGTCCGCGGATCGCGACATCGCGATCCCTGTCTCGGAGGCACCCTCTGCGGTCGAACAAGGACCCTCGGAGCATGCCGGTCAGGCAGGGATTGTGAGCAAGGCTGACGCCGAGGTGGTCAGCAGCAGCCCCAGCCACCGACTTCTTACCCCCAAGTCCTCCTTCTCTGACCTCCATCGGACCACGTCCATTGACGGACGGCACACGCACGACCCCACTCCATGGGCGCTTGAGGATGAGACCCTGGCCAAGCCCTCCCCAGCCTCTCCCTCCCCTCCACCACCAGCACAATCTCAGACACAACCACGGTCCCTCTTCGGCGGTCCCCCTGGCGATCCAGAGTCGGCCTCGCCGCCACGCACGCCGCTGCAGACGATCCGGGAGCAGGAACCGTCTGAGCGCACGCCTCGGCTGGAAGTACGACCAGAACACACCTTGCCCCGGCCTCGGACGCCCGTGAGGAAGTTCACCGACAACGCGCTCGACCGGCTCTCGTGGCCGACCTCGAGCAGAGACAACAGCCCTGGGAAGGACGACGGGCTGCGTGGCGATCGGCGGGCGGCTGGTCGCGATAGCAAAAATTACGATAACACGCACATTCTTCCCCCACCGGATCTGCCTGTCGAGAGCATCGCCTCGTCTTCTTCCTACGACCCCGTCACCGACAAGGGGAAGCGTCCGGTCCGGGGCATGGCTGACGTTTACGTGAGTTCAACTCATTTTATTTGATTCTAGTTTGTTGGTTTGTGCTTTTTTTTCTTTCTTTGATTTTCTTTTCTTTTCTTTTTTTCTTTTCACAAATGAAAAAGAAAGATAATAAATGGTCATTATAATCGTTTTGTTTATTTGTTTACTGACGTTGCTAGGAGGGATGGGGAGAAACCCCCCAGTCACCGCGGTCGCCCTCACGGCCCCCCAGTGTACGTCGTCGACAGAGTATGCAACACATGCAGGAATTGGAGACCCGATTAGATCAACTGGTGTCGGAGAATCGGTTACTGCAGGCGGCGCGCGAGGAGGCAGAGAAGAAGCTGCAGAAGACCAGTGTGGCCCGGCGCAAGAGCGATCAGGCGCTTAATGTGAGCGCGGCGGATCTGCGCAACCGGGAAGCGGAGGTGGAACAACTGCGTCGGTCGGTGGACTGGTTGCAGAAGGAGGTCTCGCGATTGACGGAGGAGAAGAACGGACTGGTGGCGAGCCAGGCGACGCTGGTCGCAGGCCATGAGCAAGAGCTGCAGGCGGCGCGCGAGGCCGCCGCACGCGAGGTCGAAGCGTTGCGAGCGCAACACAGCGAGCTGACGACCCGCGTGCACGAAACGATCCGGCGCGAGATTGACCAGGCGCTGACACCCAAGGACACGGAGCTCCGGCGTCTGCGGACGGAGCTGGCGAGCGCGCGCGACCAGGTGCAAGCGCTGCAGCAGCAGCTGGCCAGCAGTGGCGGCGTGGGTGATGCCCTCGTGTTCCATGACGAAGACTACTTTGACGCCGCGTGCCAGAAGCTCTGTGGCCACGTCCAGCAGTGGGTGTTGCGCTTCTCGAAGCACTCGGACCACCGGCGGTGCCGGATGCTCGGCGAGCTGCACGACGAGAAGATCGCCGACCGGTTCGACAACGCCCTGCTGGACGGCTCCGACGCGGACGCCTATCTGGCCGACCGGGTCCGACGACGCGACGTGTTCATGTCGGTGGTGATGACGATGGTGTGGGAGTATATCTTCACGCGGTACCTATTCGGCATGGACCGCGAGCAACGGCAGAAGCTCAAGGCCCTTGAGAAGCAACTGTCCGAAGTCGGGTCCCCGGCCGCGGTGCATCGCTGGCGGGCAACGACGCTGACCCTGCTGGCGCGGCGGCCGACCTTTGCGCGGCAGCGCGAGAGCGACACCGAAGCCGTCGCGCTGGAAATCTTTGCCACGCTCTCGCGCCTGCTGCCACCCCCCTCGGCCGTCGAGGCGCCCTTGCTCGAGTCCCTACGCAAGGTCCTACGCGTGGCGGTGACGCTGGCGATCGAGATGCGCACCCAGCTCGCCGAGTACATCATGTTGCCGCCGCTGCAGCCCGAGTACGACACCCATGGCGACCTGACGCGGCAAGTCCGGTTCAACGCGTCCCTGATGAACGAGCGCAGCGGCGCCACGACCTCCAACGAGGCCCTCGAGGCACAACACGCGGTCGTCCGCCTGGTCCTGTTCCCCCTCGTCGTCAAGAAGGGCAACGATCAAGGCCACGGCACCGAGGAGGTCGTCGTAACTCCGGCACAGGTCCTGATCGCGCGTCCAGAGCCGGACCGAATGACCCTCGACGCTGCCACCCGCTCAGTGCACAGCATCGCTCCCTCGTCCATGGGGGGGAGTATTGCCTAGCAAAACGCTGGTATGATGAGGCCGTGATATATAGACCATGACTTGACGATTCTGATGACTTGTGTTCCTTGTTATTGTTCCATTCTATTTGTTTTTCTTTCTTCCCTTCTTGTCTGTTGTCTATAACTACCCAAAAGGTCTTAACGAGTGATGATGTAATTTAGATAAATAATTTCATTTCAATTCTTCTACAAACTAGTTCAGGAAAACTGTTCAGGAAAACTGTTTACCTATTCTTCGTCTTATTCTGCTTCTATTCTTATTCTTTGCAGTATCCTGTTTTCGTTATCCACTTGATGACTTCATCCGTTTTCGACTTGCCCCCCCTCGTAACTTTCCCACACCTCCCGGCCTTGGACCTACTCAAGCTCCCTGACGC